TTTTTTTTTTTTAATCGATTTTGTCCTTTGCCGCGCTCCCGGTTTTAAAAATTTTAGCCATATTTATAATTTATCGTACGAAAAATAACGCATCGTATATTTTATGTATGACATTGCGTGACGTAGATGGGGAAGAGCGCGCGAGATTTAGCCGGGCAAAATCGCGAAAATATTTCGCGAATTCGAACAACTGCGATTGAATAAAAAGGGAAATCCGCGAAAGATCGCGATGAGTGATCGATTGTCTGGCGGCAGCGCGGGTGTTGCCGCAAGGACGAGAACGAGGCTGTACAGAGGGATGAAACGGACAGGACGAGAGGACGAGAAGGGAGGCGGGGGGGGAGACCCGTGGACCCCCAAGAGGCGCGCTGACACCCTCGACCTGACGTAATCTTCTGACAGAGTAAGCCGGTAATCTCTGGGATTACTTTGTATTCCTGGCTACGTCCTCACGGCCATATTTACTCACACCGCCGTAATTCGCGCTGAGAATCCCTGCAGCGTAACAGCGATTCCCGCCTAAAATCCTGTCGGAACATCTGCACAGGATATCTGATTACCAATGGCGGCTTTTGATTTCTCGGCAGACGCCGAGCGTGCGATTCCGGGAGATATCTTCGCGTACGCAATTACATGATTACAGATATGTAATACGTGTCTCGATGCTCAAAATTCGTTTCGAATTTGACATCACGATTATTTCGCGCAACGCAATTTATATTTTTATATCTTTTATTCTTTTTTTAAATAATTGCATCGTAGGTCCCGACAAGCCTGAAAGAGTCATGAGTGTCCCGGCACTTTGTCCTCTCGTCATTAATATCCTGACTCGCGAAGGATCCTCGATCACAAAGTCTAAGAGGCAGCCTGGCGTGCATTGTGCGAATTTATGAAGCCGAGGAGGCTGCAATCTCTACGAGAGAAAGAGAGACGGCAATGTAATGTATACATACGATAATGAAAGAGACAGGAGGGAAACGGCGAGGAACTAGAGGTGGGAAGGGGGACGATGGGGGGGGAGAAGAGGCGGTTGGTCTGGCTGTGACGCAATTACGGCGCAGACTCATTGTTTCATTAGCGAAGACAAAGAGAATCTGGAATAATGGACAAATAGGCGCGTTTATGTAGCGCCCGTCCTCTTCTCCAGGCTCCAATTAGAACCTCCTAGGATGGGGGACAGGCATTGGGAGGGGGGGGGGGAAGAGGCTGAAGGAGGGTCCGCTGTATCGCGCCGAGGCACGTACCACACGTCGTACGTCTCGTCATCACACACACACACACACACGCACACACGGCTGGTGCACGTATGTGGCCTTCCCCGGCTGGTGTGCGTGCGAGTCGTTGCACACGTATACACGCGAGGCACGCATGTGCGAGGCCGACAATTACCGGCGTGCGTGAATTAGACGCGCGTCAAACGCTGCTCGCACCTGCGCTCGTGCGACGCGCCCTGGACCGCGCCGGGGGGGGATGATGCTCTGGCGCCG